CACGTGATCTCGCTGACGCAACAATATATATACGAAGGGACCAAGTAAGTGACAAGTTAAGTCAGAAAACGTTAAGTTAGTGAAAGTAAAGTTAGACTGCGTGATTTTTAGTAATGTTATGGGCAACATTTAAATTGCGTTTTACAGTGGTGTTGAAATAACAGAGATAAAGGAGAACAATTTGTCTTGTTAATGAGTGTTCTAAAGTAATTGAACCTGACTGTGTGGACTTTGACAAAAAAGGGACAATTATTTGAAGTTCTGGATACAACTGTGGTAACCCACAGGGCATCGTAAGTGAATCTATCGCAGACTGTGCAGTAACTTGAGTAAGAATAGAGAAAAATAATTTGTCTTGTCAACTGAGTTCTAAAGTAAATGAACTAGCCTTTGTCGACTTTTGACAATAAAAGAGAATTGTTTACAGTTTTGGATACAATTGTAATATCCTATAGTGTAAAGAACTTTTGTACATACGTTTGACTTGTTTTGAATATATGATTTTAAAACAAGTGGATTGTGTGCTGTCCGATTACTGTTCGAATTTATCGCCAACAAATCACAGACACGGACTGAAAAGAATCGCAGCCCACGTATATAAAACCCTGACACTCCCATATTATTCTTTGGTAACGTTAAGTTGTCCACCATCTAATCCAGCATTTATGTAGCTTATTTGTTATGATACATTATTAATAATATAATATTACTGGCTGCTAATTCTAATAACTTATGAGTGAAAGTAAAGAAGAATATTGTTATGTCTCTGGTCGTTAGTTAATTTCCCGTATAATTTATTTCTGATGAAACTTTAGCGACACAAGTTCCTTTCTTAAATAAAACTAGTTTATTCTTTCTCAATTCAACTTTGCAATACACTTAATTTCCACAGCCAATTTAACTTAACTAATTTTATAAAAACACTTATAATTCGCAGGGAACTTTTCATGCACTTACTTACTACCGCGCTTGACTCAATTGTCCGTCTGCAATTCTATTCCGATTAATTCTCTCACGTTCTTATATACAAGAATAGAGGGCGCCTAGCACATACTGGATTATTCGTGATGTTCCCCGATCCTTCTAGAATATCATGACGTGTTACCAGAGTCACGTGACTACCGCTGTCGTAACAATATGTTATAATATGTCAACCACAATACACTATAAGTATGACTAGTGCCGACGAGGCCTTTCATTAGGTCGGCTTGAATACGCCAGACATAGTAAAGGTCTAGTCGCTGTATAAATCATCAACTTTCATGAACAACGACTGTTATGGTGTCAACTGGATTACGTAAGCGAATTGTAATTATTATATATTTTATTAACAAATTAAATTTTTAAGCTAAGGATTAATAACACTATGCTGTTTAACAGTAACAATTAGTAGAGTCAATTTCCATCTTGCGTAAATCCTCTTCCTTTGATCGTAATATTATACGTAAACGAGAATAAGCGTTATAAAATAATAATTTACGATAACGGTATCTTAACGCGGAAAAGGAAAATGCAGGCAAAGAACTTGCCCTAAAGTAATATTATGATGAACTAAACCATTGCATAGATCGATTAGACAAGAATATCAAGATCACGTAAGAATTTGGATTAACGTAGAACCGTGCTCTGAAACGGGGAAATAATGTAAAAGAAAAACTGAAACCTTTATCGTGCATTTTGTTGAATATTGTTATATCATGTTTTCTAATACACGATATGTTATAGATACTATGGTTATAATTATCATAGTAAGGATAATTTATCACTATGGCATAACACGTTATATTAGAAAAACGGCTTTTAATAACTGAGCTATAAAGTAATAAAAAATTAACAAAACAAAAAACGTGTTACTTCCTGCTACTTTCTTTACATGTAGACCCTTTTTTTCTCCCCCTTTTTTTAATTAATCTTTTCAAGTTGATGTTACCGTTCTAAGTATTAGTTAATCTTAGTTGAGAATATACTTTTTAGTTTTAATTATTATTAGAATCAACACTAACCCAGTTCCTGGTTTTAATTCCAGGTTCCTTTTTTTAAAAAAACCTAGACCCTGTGAAGTTCCAACTTTCAAGGCCAGAAAATGACAGTTTTAATTGTACTAAAACTCTTACCCAGTTTTGGTTAAGTTTTATTTATATGGTGCAAAATAATACACAATTTGGAATGGTCACTTAAAAATTTATGTACACAACTGTTACTTCTGCCCCAGTGATACTGGAATTTGCTTCATTGGTCTCATCTTTAGGTATTGGTTTTCACCCAAAACAAAAGGAAAAGCTATTAATAAATATATAAACCAAAAACCTTTATTTTCTTATGGCACTCAAAGATTTTATATTGAGGCAGATAACAGTCAGTATCCTTATATTCTATTCAAGTTTCTTGTGGTAGATGTTACTGACTATCAGTATCACTGGCTTGATCTTTGTAGATGATCAACCCCATTTGTTAACATTGTAGTGGAAATATATTCCATTGATTGATGCTGCCAAGAAACTGTTACAGCTGACTTAACTTGAGATTAGTCTGTAAGGGCTAATTTTATATCTTCTAAAGAATGATGTAGCATTGTGTCAGGTGTCTCACCTGATACTGGAGTATTTAATCTCCATAAAGAACTTAGTAGATTTGGCTACAAAATTTATTGCACAAAAAAAGCTTAAATGAAGGAAAGAAAAGGTGGTTTAGTTCAACCAATTGACATGGACTGTTCTTATAACCTTTATCGGTACATCCTTATAGCAAAGTTGTAATTGGATTTGAGTGTTTTTCTATAGGGCCTTAAATTAGTAATCCCATTCAGTTTTACCAGTGTATTCATTTTGGCCATATAGCTGTCAGTTGTTTCAAATGTGGGAAACCGTATAATTATAAAGATTGTGTAATAGACTTCTCAGAAGTGTGTTAATTGTAGTAGACTACTTTCAGTAACTTTTTCACAATGCAGAATCCAACAACAAAAAATCCAGTGATATGAAAGCTTACATGTTAAACACATCAGATATCTTACAGGGAGGCTTGATTATTATTTCGGAAGTCTCCACCTATAAGAAAATGGTACAAAGTGACCCTCTGTGTTTCATGAGGGTCACTTTGTCAGGTCTCATTTGCTGCTCAAACTTTTACATTTGATGTTTCTACTTGAACTGAGGCTGATAATATGTTAAAATTTCCTTCTTGTTCAAATTTTATTGCTTTCATTGCAGAAATAATTAAGTGCTATTCTCAGGTTTATATAAATTAAACACAAATTAATATTATCACTAAGGCTACTGAGAAACATTTTAACTATGTCTGGATCAGCAGACTGTACATGGTCTACTGCATTCTCAAGTAGAGCTGGGCAGTTAGTATTATATCCTAATAAATCAGTCAATGTCCCATAATTAATTATTACAGTGTTCCTTATATACCATGGTTTGTACACATACACACACAAAAAAAAGGTTGGTATTGGGTGCTGTCAGTCAGTTGTCTTCCTTCTAGTGAGCAGTTAAAAATTAGTGATAATGTCATATAGCATTAGTAGCTTGGCCATAACTAAGATAGGTCAAGCACGTTTGGTGACAATAATTTGATTACTTGGATAGTTGGAATAATTAAAAATGGTAATAATCAGAAACCCTAATTTTGATTAGTTATTTTCATGACAATTGATTTAATAGTAATTTTGATTAATCTGTTGTTGGGATAATCAAAACAGTAATAATCAGAAACATTATTTTGATTACTTGACTTGATCAGGGGCCTGGCTTGACCAGGTGGTTAGGGCACTGGACTCGCAATCTGAGGATCTTGGGTTCGAATCCCCATCTCACCCTTTCAGTCGTATAGGCATTATAATATCATGGTCAATCCCACTATTTATTGGTAAAAGAGAGTAGCCCAAGAGTTGGCAGTGGGTGGTACTGACTAACTGCCTTCCCTCTAGTCTTTTACTTCTAACTTAGGGATGGCTAGTACAGATAGCCCTTGTGTAGCTTTGCACAAAATTCAAAACAAACCAAATCATTTAATTAGCTTACATGACACTAAATCAGTGTAATTGATTAAATTACTGAGCTCTCTAGCTCACCTGGTGATGAATGAGCACCTTAAGTTTTTACGGTGGAATGCTCAAGGCTTATTATGTGGAACTCAAGCTCTGTATGTATCACTATACTCCTCATGTTATCATCCGAGTTTATGAAATTTGGTTGAATGCTCATACTGAGTATTCTCTACCTGGTTATATTGTTTATTCTTCCAAATACACTGCTTGTGAACATGGTGAACTTTGCTTCTTCATTCACTGGGACTTTTTATTTTTATTGCCTGTTAGTGGTGTCGATATTTATCCATTTGAAAATGTACAGAGTAATCTTAAGTGAAAAAACGTTCTGTGCTGAAAGTTAAAGAACTTCTCTGAATATGTATGTTCTCAAGTGTCTTTAACAATCTTACGCAAACCTCAACTTTGTCTTCCTTACTTTTTCTGATATGAAGACTGAATCTCCCAAATGCAGTGCTCCTTGGTCATCTGTCAATGTCTGTAATGCTCTTGGGGTAAATACACTAGATCTATGATTCAATCATTGAATTTACATATCAAGGAGGATGCACAACTTTCACTATATAATCAGTTAGTCATCTACAAATACATCAATAAGTTATGTGATAGTTCCAGCCTACAGAACTTCAGTATTTTATAAAGTGTACAAATTAATTCTATCCTCAACACCTAGGAATTGCTACTCGTTTATAAATCAAAACCCTTTCAAACCTTTTTAAAGTGCTTGCCTCCACTTTTGCCAGTGTTAATTTATTCCATAAGCCAATCACCCTGTGAGAAAACAAGCCTTGACTCCATGGAGCTTAGTGTGTTTTAAACTTGTCTCCTGTTATCTTTATATTACAGACAAAGAAGTCGTAGGCCTTTATCTTATCAGTACCCTGGATGATATTGTAAATTTCAGTAAGATCACCTCTTACCCTTTTTTCTCAAGAAAAAATGAATTAAGCATTCTTAACTTATTTTTATAAGACAATCTTTTCATCCCTTTTCAACCTAACAGCTCTTCTCTGCACTCTTTTCAATAAATCAGTATCATTCCTTAGATAAGTAGACCAAAACTGTATACAGTATTCCAAGTGACACCTGTCTAGTGATTTGTGTAGAGAAATAATTCTCTCTTTGGAGTTGTAATCAGTATATACAGGGGTGTGACGAGAATTTTACCCTGATGGTGATATCATGTCTAAAAAGTTTCATAAGGGCTCACTATAAAATTTAACACTACATCATGTTTATAAATACATCGTAACATTCTACTATTTTTACTACAAGCAACAGAGAACTACCTTAATAGCTTGAGTAACTCATCACGACTATGCCAAGATCCCATCTGTATAATAGTGTTACGTCTCTGGTCGTTTGTTAATTTCCCGTAAAAATTCTTTCGGAAGAACTTCAGCATACAAGTTCTTTCTTAAATAAAACTAGTTTATTCTTTCTCAATACAACTTTGCAATACACTTAATTTCCACAGTCACTTTAACTTAAACAAACGCTATAATTCACAACGATTCACGTAGTTTACTTACGGTCACTACCGCTCACTTGAATTGATTATCTGTCTCTAAATCTCCCTATCTGCAATTATCTATGCCGTCACTTCTCCTCTCCGCTTTATTTGCCGGGCTTATATATTAAAATATAGGGTGCCTAGAAAATGCCCGGGCCTTCATGATCCTTCTAGAATCTCATAACGTGTTACCAGAGTCACGTGACTTCCACTATCGTAACAATATATTAAACATTTTACCCCATATGCATTACTTTGCACTTGCTATAATGGAAGGTCATTTGCCAAATATTTGTCTAACTTACCTGTTGATCCTAATTATTCTGTAGTATCTTAATATCTTCAATATAACTAGAATTACTCGAAGGTTTAATGTCAGCTTACTAATTTAATAATTATGCCTCTATCATTACCATTAATCTAAATAAGAAAATACAAAGGATTAAGCATCAGTCCCTGAAGCACCTCATTAGTAGCAAGGGTCCAGTTTGACAAGATTCCATTGATAACCTTTTGCATTCTTCTATCCACTCACTCTAAACCCAATTAAACAGTCTTTTTTCCAGCAACTACTGATGTTATTTTTGTAGTTAATCTGGTAGTGGCACTTTATCAAAGTTTTTGTTTTAAGCAGCTCTTTTGATTTAGTTTCCAACACTGTTCGTTCCTACATGCACTACAAATTGAGATTGCTCCTTTGTTCCGGCCACTAAATAGTCAACAAGCTATATAATATCCTGTACTTCAGCACTAGGCAAGCAAATTCTAGTTTTAGTCTGTGCTCTTCACTACAGTTAACTCCATCAGTATATTTAATGTGAGAGTTCACTATCTAAACCTCTTGATCATCTTGTTCCTCACTGCAAGCAGCCAAAGGTTCAAATGTGTTAAGAGACTGATGGCTCACTGCTAACTGAACCTGCTTTTTAGCCATAATTTTGTTACTAATTGTAAAATGTTTTTGAAAAGTAGATGAAAATCTACAAAATTAAATGAATTTATTATTATTGGAAATAGAAACTAATTTAAATTACACTTTAGATACATTTATACTGTTAAATACTAGTGTCGAATTGTCTTTGGTAAAAAGATTTAATTTTATCAGTTGTTATAAACTATTTGGTTTATCTGAGCTCAGAAGTTAATTATAACCATTAATTTATTTTTCCTTAACTGTAAACTTTCTTCTTTTTTTTTTCCAGATTTTGTATTCCAAGTGTTAACTGATTTAATGGAAGCTTTTGAACTAACTGGAAATGATTGTCTTTACACCAGCTTTTAATCAGAAGTGGTTAGTTCTGCTCTTAGCCTTAATGGCTTTAACACTTGCAGTCCTTTATCCACTGTTGAAATCTTCATTCATAGGAAATATCTTTCCAGAAAAAAGATGGCATTGTTACAAGGACCTCACAGCAAATGAGAGAGTTGTTTGTAGACCATTATGTTCAAAAGGACAGTTTAGTTTACCTGGGATGTCTAGCTGTCATCCATGGTTGACTTGTGATGATTTCCTTAATATTTTTCCTCAGAAACTTCTCGTTAAGAGTGTTGTTAAAAAGGTAAGTATATAGGAGTTGATATTTTCAATCCCTATTTATTACAATTGCTGTTATAAATAGAAAAGTGTTAGTTAATTTGTAGTAAGAAACAACTGTAAGAAGTGATTGATAGTATTGTACCTTGATTTTTTTATCTCTGCTGAAAACGTAATTTATAGTAAATATGTTTTCAGAAGGAAAAGAAGATCTCAGTCCAGTTTTTTTTTACTTCACTGCCATCTACAAGTTATATCTGACATTTGTATTTCTAACCATTCTGACTTTTTTAACATTATCAGTTTTTCATTAACCATAGCTAGCTTAAGAAGTTGACTTTCACACATATTTTACTATGGCCTTATTTCCAAGTGTTTCAAAGTCATGGTTTTTCTAGTATTATTTTGAAAATCTTTTATATCCAATCCAGTAAGAACAGTATTCTAGATTATTGATAAACTAGCTTGAGTACCTGTCCTCTGGATGGAAGTTATGTAAATTCATGATTAATGAAAGGTTATCTTAGGACATGAAAAGTTGCTTCCCTTATATGTAGTTGTACACAAATGCAAAAACACCCATAAAAACTGCAAAACACAAATTATGAAACTGCAAATTTGCATGTATCTCTGCATGGATCCAAAAAACCTTCATGCCAAATTTGGTGAAGATCCATCAACAGGGGACAAAGTAGTGTTAAAAAGTGCAAAAATTACCATAAAAACAGCAAAATTTGTATGTAACTCCCAATAGACCCATTGAACCTCCGTACGAAATTTGGTGAAGATCCATCCACGGGAGGTGAGGTAGTGGTAAAAAAACACAAAAACGCCTATAAAAACTGCAAAACACAAAATTTGTATGTATTTCCCCATGGACCTAATGAACCTCTATACCAATTTCGGTGAAGATCCATCCACACCCTGCAAAATAGTTACATGGCCATATATGGATGTGCTAATCGCATAAATATTTTTTTGTGATTGAAAAATGCCACAATTTTTTAGCATACATGTTCTTTAATTTGTTCATTTTCATATTGTTTTGTAAACTCATGCAAGTTTCTTTGTTTTAATTTTATATATAATTCTAAAGTATAAGTTGTTATTGTCAAAAGCACAAAACTTAAAAGTTGAAATTTTTCAAGATAAGATATTTGAACTAAATCTTGTCAATTAACAAATATTAACACTGCTAACAAATGTGCATTTTATGAAAGCTCATTTTATTTAGAATATATTGAACTAAGTATAAATATTCTTTTCTTAGGTTATCCAAGCTAAATGGAAAAGTTACGTAGTTGTAATGTCCTCTCTGGCTTCTTCTCATTATCAAGAGGACTTTAAACATCACTTAAAAATGTTGCAATCCTGGTCAGGTAATTCTCTCATTATCCAACTGCTGGGCTTTTGTAATGACACAATAATTACAGAGTTTTATAAATTAGGAAGTGCCTTGAATGTGTGGACTTTGATGAATAAACAACTGAGAAAATATGACAGTTTGATAAAACGGCTCAACTTATGCATCAGTTATATAAACATTATAAAATTTCTTCATTTTAGTCCTAATGGAACAAGAGTTATGTGTGACTCTAATTCATTGGAAAAGACTCTTAGTCAGTTTCTCCTTCAACCAGATCTTCACCTAGTGCTGAATGATCTTGATGCACTACCTGAGGTAAAACCAGAAAGTGGCAAGAAAATAAAATGTGGTCATGTAGAACTTATGGGAGACTTTATTGCTCCTGAGCAGAGATGGCCCTACCCAGATCTTCTGTTTGATGACAATGAAATGCCAGGCTATGATGAAAAAACAGATATATGGAAAGTTCCCAACGTTTGCAACTGGTTTCTGGAAGATGATGATAACAGTGAATTTCTGAAATTAAAACTTTTTAAAATTCACAAACAATGTAAACATCTCAATGCTTCATTAAGGCCAACTGCTCAAGAAGTGTTTCAAGAATATGAGAGGGTTTTGCAAGAACTTTTATAGGCCAAAAGTAGTGGTGTGTCTTCTTTGGGGCATACTATAATTCTGGAAGGATTTGAATAGTAAACTAACAAAGAAAGGTAAAAATGATTTTAATTGGATTAATGGCTTAATTTATTACACATATATACAAATATTCTATAGTTTTAATTTAGGTGTTCTATTCAGAACTGACAAAGGTTGGTTTGCTAAAATTTTGCTGTTTTGTAAAAGCAATGTCAGTGCAGTGAAGGGAGAGCTATTGATTAGCTTGTCTTCCCTCTTGTCTGTAGTTCAAAATTAGGGATAGCTATGTGAAGATAATACTGTGTATTTTTTTGTATGAAAATGTTTGAAAAAAATAAACCAAACTAAATGCATTGAGATAATTATAGTTTTGTGTAAATATTACAATCAGTTTGACATTACCAGATGTTATTGAAGCTATTGTGAGATCATAAAAATAACAGTCAGCATGATATTATTAAATAACATTCAACTTTGGCATAATCTAAATACCCAAGTTGGGTATGTCTTTACCAAATGGTACTGAGGGGAGCATGATTTTATCTATATATTGAAGTCAGTATGTTATCACTAAATGGCAATTAGGTGAAGCTGGAGTTATTTAGTTTCTGAAATTAAAGTGATATTCATAAGTATCACTAAGCCAATTGTATTTTGATCTGTATACTGAAATTAGCTATTAAGTGGCACTAAGATTGATACAGTGTTATGTAAATACTGAAATCAATGTCATATTTGTAAATGTCACTAAGATGTGTATATTTTCATCTATAAATTGAAATGAATGTGTTATTACCAAATGACAGAGATTAGTATGATTTCATCTAAATCCATGAAGTGTGACATTACTGAATGACATTAAAGTAATTCCAGCATCATTTAAATGCTACAGTCAGTATGCGTTACCAAATGTTAGAGTAACCCCCGATTTTGGTTTCGACTGAACAATGAAATATATTTAACAGTACCAAATGCACTGAAACAATTGTGGATTTTGCCAAACTATCAAAATTAATAAGACCAACCAAACTGCTCTAAAGTAACTGTGTGATTTTAAAGAATGGAAATGGTATATATAACTTTGACAGCTTAAGTATAACATGTGATATACAAAATAATGATAGTAACAATTGACATATAACATAAATAATAGTGGTAATATAGTACGTGATAAAAACAACTGTACCATTGTGGTGAACAGAAATTACAATGATAGAATAGCATACAATAGGAATAAAATAAAAGTACTAATGTGACATATACGGATATTATAATTATTGTAGTACATACATAATGGAAATAACAGAACCAGAGTAACACAGCACAGAGATGATAACACTAGCGTGACATTAAACAGAAATAGTAATACCAGTGTAGTATATAGTATGTAACAGAAATGACAGACCTAGTGCGACATCCAATGGAAACAACATCACTGTGACATGCACCAGAAGTGACATTAGTGATCTGTTACTCGCAGAATGGAATATAGATTTGTATATTATAGTGTTAGGATTTTTTGGGCAAGATTATTTAAATACATTAATAAAAGATATAGCAACCACATGTTGCACCCAAACATGTTCTTACTGTGTGGGATCAAAACTGATGTTGAAATTTCCTACTTCACTTACTAGGTTTTGAAAGTAAAATATACTTTAGCAGCATCTCAAACTAAAGAAAATCACTAAATGAACATCTTCTCCCATAATTTCTGAAGTTTCTAGCATTTCTTGTCCTCTGGTATTTTGAGTACAGTTATTTCTGATGCTTAGAAAATTTAACGTAATAGTGCACTATGAACATTTTAAATTGCAAATTGTATCAACAAGTATTTATGAGAGTTACAAAGCTTTGTAAGTAAAATTCAATACTTTCAGTATTAATTGTTCAGAAATTAGAAAACTTTTTAAATAAAAAAATTATACCTACATATTAACTATACTTCCAGACATCATTAGAACAAAAATATGCATTAGCATCAAAAGTTTATAAATAAAAACACGTTCAAAGTTCTACTGAGTAACATATACAGTCGTAAGTATTTGAAAGACAATATTAAAGAACATTTTTTTTGTTTGCATGATACTGAAAAAATGTATCTCCTAATATTTGTTGTTGCTTCAGTATGAGAATAGTGTAATTTAAGTAAAAACACACATTTCTCTATTTTATTTAATATTTTATTTTTTTTTCATGATACAGATGCTGCTATGTAATAATAATTTAGTTCAATCACAGGTTAAGGAGAAACAGAAGAAAATACCTAAACATTTTCACATTTGTTTTTTTCAATTTACCAGAAATACTTCTAAGTTTAGTAATTAATTGGTGTTTTTATGAACATGCAATTCTGTTCAAGTATTACCAACATCAATCTCCTTCAAAAAAAAAAGTTTTAAACAAAGTGAATAATGAAGTTAATAGCCTTTATGTGATGGCCTGAAGCTTCTAAATTTTAATGGAAACCATATAACAATTAGCCTTCATTGTACATTTACTATACAGCCCTCAAACATTTCAATATTTTTCCATTTGACAAACCACTATATATGAATCTACTGAACATCAAAGTTTTAACAAACCCAGAAAAATTGTCAATTTACAAATAATGTTGTGAAAAGTCAGTAGGTATAATGACCACACTTGTTAATTGTTTTTCATGTCAACTGGAGCTGCTTAACCAGGTTGTCTCATGATTTAAACTTAACTTACCAATTAAAGTAGTGAACATATGATTCCAGTTCTCTACAGGCCATTGTTACTTTACTAATCAGAATGAGTTGGAATAGTCATTTTAATTAATTATATATATATATATATTGCTTTATTTAATACTCACTTCATCAAGAATATTTTGAAAAAACATGTTTAAAATTTTCACATGATGAATGCCAATGAAGCCATAAACAAAAAAACATTTACATAAGCATTCTATACTTTTTCATTGTTTACTTGCTACATATTGTGTATATATACGATGCTATTTTATAATTTTAAGACAGGTTTATTTCAGAGCTGTTGAAATGAATTTTGCAGCTTCTATTTCAAAGTAGTATTTTATTTACACACAATATATAAATGTTGTTTCAGCAACTTCCATTTTAATGCCTAAAAACAGCATTGCTAAAATATTTGAGTAATAAATTTCTTTTAAGTTTAGAAGATTTTAACTGTCTGAGCTAATGTGTTCACATGGACCATAACAATATATCTGTGCAGTTAAATGACTCAAAGGAACAGACTACAAGTAACCATTTTAACTTTGTAAGTAAAACTGCTACTTTGCACTTTGTTTAAATTTGTGTCTCTGATGTAAAATAAATGGAAAATACCAGTTTTTAGGGACTGGCTGCCCCCACACAAAGACACAAAGTTTTAATCTGTAAACTTACATTTTACAAAATAAGCTCTATTTAATAGCAGGAGCTTTCTTCTAACCAGTCACAAAAATTAAGTGAAATTTCAACCACTTTCTTTCTGTTGCCATCACATGCACAATATTTCACAAGTCCTAGATCTTCTGATAATATGATTATGGGAAAATATTTGTTAAAATAATCTAACAGGTTTTTCTTGCAAGCTTACTGACACTTCAGTGTAAACGTGATTCTGACTTAAAATCAACTTGGATTTTTCACATTATCTATGTCTGCAAGGTAAAACAAAAAAATACTTAAGTATCTGACTCAGATTAAGGAACCGTTATTTTTTAACTGGATGCATACTTTATATGTGAAATAAAACTAAGAATTTGCCAATTTCCTACAGCTTTTCACACTCACTTATACATCAAAAACAAAATGGAATATAACCCTTAAGAGTTAACTGTTAATGTGGTCAATTTGATCTCTCAACTACAAAATTTTCTCATAAAAGTGAAGCAGTATTAAGGATCAGTAGCTGCCTAAGAAAATGTTTCTTTAAAATTTGAACAGCTATGCTATTGGAATGATTTAGAGAATATTGTTTAGCTAGTCTTAAGAATCTGAACTGCATTAAAAATAAGTAAGTAATTCAATTATATAGAGAAAAAAAAGCAAGGAAAATTATTTATTAAATAAAGTAATAATTTCTTGTGAAATAATACTATATATGCTTAAATCCTCCTCAGTTAATTAGTATAAAGTATTTACAATAGCTTAATAACAATAACCCTATAACTTTGTTACAGCATAGATATACCTAAACGTTTTTTAAAATAAAATCTTGGAATAAAACCCAAGGAAAAAAACAACAAAATTAAATGAAATTCCTGCTGATTGAAACTATATTGACATATTTACACATGAAACCAAATATTCATTCAACTTTTATAAATATTATTTAGAAACTGTAAAATTCTATTTGTATGCATAAGTCACAATATGCTAAGGTTTGCTGTATTATATTTTCGACATCTTCAACAGTGTAATCATCAAATGACAAGCTAAATTAACACATTAGTTAATCAAAAACCTCTAGTCATATCTTTCAATCAACCACAGATTTGCAGTTTCTGTTGTACGTATGATTAACATTGTAATACTTATCAATAATATTTTTTGTATTTCTTAAATGTTTTACAGAAAAAATTGCAATTTAATTATTCTTCTTTAAAAAGAATTAGCACTGCGTTAAGACCCTAGAAACCCATTTTCTAGAGAGTACTTCTTGCCGAGATGTCAACTATGCAAGTCTAGGTAGTGTAAAGTAATAATTTGGTGTTAATGTTTTACTCAAGTTTTAAGCTGCAATTAGATACCAGCATAACTGAGCTTAATAACAATAATATACACAAGGTTGAAATCCTTAAATACAACAAGAAATAACTTTTTTGTTAATATCCTTTGTGTGGTAGTTTTTACAGGCAACATGTTTTATTTTCTATTGCCTGAGCTGGCTTGATTACAACTTATGATAATGATTGTTTAGATACCTTTCATTCAAAAGCAGATTACTGAAAATGTTAGTAACTCAAGAACACAAAATACTCTGCTAAACATACCTTAAAAATAACAACCTCCTTTTTTCATTCTGTCTCAAACACCACAAACTAGGACAAACAAGCATGTTTAACTTTCATACTTAATAAAGAAAATAAAATAATGAAATAACTCAGTTTTTAAATTAACTAAACTTTAGCTTTAAATATTAAATTACTTAATTTGTAACTACAATAGTTTTAGGTTTTTATGGTAAATAAAAATTCAGAAACATATAAAAAATTGAATTCCAGGGTAACAGAGAGATGTAAGAACAGATATTTAATTAAGGATTAGTAACTACTTAGATAACTGTTAACAGTTTGGATTTAATCAAATTATTTTTTAAAATTTGGAACATTCATTGAAATTATAAATACTGCTACCAATTGACTTTTATTAACTATTAATAACTACCAATATCTCTCTTACATTTTTATTTCTGCAGTTTAAAAAAATTTAATCATTAAATAATTCTGTGCCATATTTTGTAAACACATGCTCTACAAATATTTCTGTAACCCCTTTCTGAAAAATTACGATCATGCATTCTCATTTTAAAAAACTTTTTTGTTCATATCTTAATATAAACTAAATTTATCAGAACTGAATGTGGTAATTCATACTTTAAATATATAGTTCATAATATTTTTTATACATATCAACAAACATTTAAAAAAATAAACAGTTTTCTTGAGAATATGAAGAAAATAGAAGTCGTAGATAAACTATCAGTACTATATGAATTCACAACTAACTTACCTAGATTATAAAGATAAGTCAAGAGTTACTGTCTTAGTTGGTAGAAAACATATCTTAAACATTTTTTTTTTTACATCCACCTGATTTCATTATACATTACTCAAGGTACTACATCTTTTCTGGCTATGGATTAAAATATAAATTTGAAATAAATATAAAATTATTGCATTTTGTCAAAGCAGTTATGTTACATAATATAATGCAATGCAATATAGCATTTCTAGCTAAGAGACAACACAAATACATTATTACAAAGTCATACATATTATATAAATTGAAGATTTAAATAATTCAAATATTTTATGATCTAGCATGTTAAATTCTTTACCCTAAAACTCATCTTGCAAAATGCAAAGTTAGTTTTTCAAATAAATATCCACTTATAAGCATTCACCTATTCAAACAAGTTTTAAATAACAAAAACAGTTTATGAAGCAAATTAAAATATCTGTTCTCGGAAGACAGTATCTTATATATATTGCAAACCATAATGTCTGTTCAAGCATTCATCTGTCTCCCATTTCAAAAGCTGTGCACACAGGCAAAGCTCAACATTCACTTTTGATATGATGGGAGAACAGGCATGAATAATGTTGATGCCAAATTCTATTTCACAAGCAGGATATTCTACACTACATTGTTAGGAATTAATCACGCTATCATTCACATTTCAAAATGTGACATAACTTAAAGACTAACAGTGTAGATTTACCATATGTTACTGTTGAGTGGCTCTTGGTACTTAATTATTATTTTTTGCAGTGGGCGGTATAAATAGTTCAGAACTTTGGCTCTGAGTGAAACCAAAAGTGTAACACAATTAACCTTTTTAAAGTCCATGAAATAATTTAAATTGGTAGATTAACTTAAACTTTTCCTATCACTGAGGATGGGTATTTTTGAAAGATTAACTTAAACTTTTCTCATAACTGGGGACGGTACTTTTGCTTGTAGAGAATAAAGATAGATTTAGGTTTCTGGCCCTACAGGCTTTACCATATTTTTCGGTGTATAAGACGCACTTTTTTACCCCAAAATTTGATGCCAAAATCTGCTTGCGTCCTATACACCAAAGGTATGAATAATATATATGTATATATATACGATATACATAAGCCATGTGTAAATATATTTAAATAGGCATGCATAGTTTAGTTCCATGAAATGTGTTATTTATAACAATAGTAGTTTTTTTTTTTAAATATAACTATTTATAATGCTCCCTAAATAATAAAAAAATTAATTATAGTAATGGATGAGAGTGAAAAAGCTTGTAAATACATGACGATCCCTGTTTAATGTGGAGCAGAATAAGGCCGTTTCAGGCCTAACTTTAACAAACAAAAAATCGTTTTTGAGTGCTTGCCTTGGATTCAAATGTGCAATGAGCTTGACCAATCAGAGAGCTTAATGCAATTAGCGTTGGTAATCGCCTAATCAGTATTTAAATTTTCATTTGATACTCAGCAGTCTGGCACGTGCTTACTGTCAAGTTGGATGCGTCACCGAAAGCCGAAGTACCAAATCTTAGGCCTCGGAAGCAAAATAGTTGTTTCTTCATTTTTCATTCTATTTTTTCACCCCTTACGATATCTAAAGAAAAGTGACTATCATACACAGCTAAATTTAAGTGTGATTAATTATGCAAAAGAGCATGAAAACAGGGCTGCCAAAACACATGGATGAAACACCTTTAACATTTGATGTTCCAAGCAATAGAACAACTGATATAAAAGGTACTAAAACTATTACTGTTAAGACTACCGGACACAAAAAATGCATTATACAGTGGTGCTAGCATGTTGTGCAGATGGAACAAAATTACCACCAATGTTAATTTTTAAAAGAAAAACAATGCCCAAAGAAAATTTACCCAGCGGTGTCTACGTTCACGTACATGAAAAAGGATGGATGGATGAATGAAGATGGAACACTACTTTGGTTTGAAAAAATTTGGTAGAAAAGTCCAGGAGGCCCTCTCTCCTCGTCTGGGATTCTTTTACAGCTCATAAAATGGAAAAAATAAAGGAAAAAGCTAATGAGCTAAAAACACAGCTGGCTGTTATACCCAGCGGTTTAATAAGTCAACTGCAACCGCTCGATGTTTCTATTAACAAACCCTTTAAGACTTTAATGAAAGAGGAATGGAACAACTGGATGCAGCAGGAAGATTTTGCTATGACCCCTACAGGATGAAGGGAGAGACCGACGCCTGCTCAGGTCTGCATGTGGGTGAAGAATTCGTGGGAAAAAGTAAGAAGTGATATAGTGATTAAGTCATTTAAGAAATGTGGTATCAGTAACGCAATGGATGGGACTGGGGATGACATTCTCTTTGACCATAATATTGGATCCAATGATTCCTTTCCAAGCGACAGT